ACTGTGGATTGTGGCAAACTTGTGCAATAAAATTTTATCAGTGATAACAAGTAATAAGAAATAATGTTTAACTATAGTTACTTATCAGAATAAATAACTTTATTAATAACTTAAAATGTGATAAATTTTCACATTTAAAATAAAATTAAAAACAAATATTTGAGGTCATAATCAAATTGATAATTTTTCTTTCATAGAAAAAAATAGTTTTGGAAGCGTGGAATTACTTTGATAAAGTTGTGGTAAATGATAAGAAATATGGAGATTGCAAAAAATGTCATAAAAGAATAGCTTGTCCAGGAAGCAGGACAACCGGCCTAATTGGACACGTCAAAAGTTGAGAGAAAATAGATTTGAAACCATTCAGTTCCAGACCAGTTTTGAATAAGATGTCGTTAAACTATCTTCTTGCCAAGTTTACAACTCTTGATGGATATTCAATTAGGTCCATAACTCAATCTGAAACACTAAGAATGCTTTTTGAAAATTATGGGCATAGTTTGCCCAAACCAGCGTCCAAATTTCAGAAAAAATTAAGATGTTTCATGCTGAAGCCAAATATTTAATGATCACTGAATTGGCTGCATTGAAAGCAAAAGTGGAAATATTTGGACTAACAGGTGACGAATGGTGTAGCAATAGAGGTAGAAGATACTACAATTTAAATATTCATCACGACAGCAAAACTGCTTAAACATATTAGATAAAATTGACTTGGATTTCATAAAATCGCTGTCTGACTTATTGGAAGTCATTGCTGACACTGCAGTTCGCTTGGAAAAACCAAATACAACATTTTTGGAGTGTGACATTATTATGGAAACATTAGTAAGGAAATTGAAGGTTGTAGAAACTGACATCAGTTCTAATTTTGCAGACGCGTTAATCTCCAGAAATGAAGATAGTAAAAACGTTATGTTGGTATCATTGAGTCGTTATTTGCACAATCCCGATTTTTTTTTAAATAAAAACAACACATTTTTTTACGCTTCCAAAAAAGATATTCAAGTTTATGTTGCAAAATTATTTGATCAACTATTTACAACAAAATAAAATAGCCTCTAATCAAAATCAGATGATCACGCTAAAAGCAAACAAGAAGAACCATCACAATCGACATCTTTTTTTGACGAAATTTAAGAAGTTCTAAATCAAAATCAATCAGCAGCTAAAAAGCCAAAAAAAGGTAAGACCTTCATTGATCAGTCGAAAGAATATGAAGTAACTGGTGTGAAATCAGAAGCAGTTTTGAAATTTGAACTAGCCATTCACAGAATTCTAGTAACTTCCTCGGAAGCAGAAAGAGTTTTCTCCTCGTCTTCCAGATTTGTAACAAAGTTTCGTAGTTTGCTTTCTGATGAAATGGCAGATGTTTTAATTTTTTTTAAATATTATTTAAAAAGATCTTCAGAATAAATACTTTTCTATTCAATTTCTTTTTTAATTTTTGATTTTAGGCATATTTAACTGAAAGTTCACGCCTTCTTCCTAACCGATGCCGGTTCGAATGCTAATTATTAGATAAACCTTGTTCGTTAAAAAATTGTGATAAAAAAAATATTTAAGTTCTAAGAAATATAAAAATACAAATTTTTTAAAATTTTATTATGAAATATAAATCAAAAAATTTAAAAGTAAAAAAAAAATACAAGAGCAATGTTTAATTATCATATAAATAGTTTAACTTTTTTATTTATAACAAAAAATTATCGAAACTCCGATTTTTTCTCGACTCCGACGGAGTTTTTTCTCGATTTCTCTCGACTTTGTTTTTTCTAGATTTTGGATCCTTTGATCAGCAGTCAAATCGTTAGGACCAGTGACTTGGATTTGTTGTCGGGCATTGAATTCTCTTTTCTTTCTAGGTGGGTCTTTCAGCTTTAGAATAAAATTTAAAACTTAGGATTACTGGAAGTCTGTTCAACTGTTTGATGAGCTTAAGATACAATTTCTACAACATCATCACTGTCATCATTACTGGATGGAGTGAAAAAATGTTTAAACCAGAGTCTTTCACTTCTTCAATAATTTCTTTATTTAACGAGAATAAGAATGAGGACAATTTCGGCTCTTCAAAAACTCCTTTACTGTTGAGAAATAAATTCAAAAACTCCTGGATTGTTGAGATGGAATTTCCATAAATGAGCGTGAATTTGTTTTGTATTGTAGTCTGTTCGTTTGATGAATTTTTCTTTCGCACCGTTAGGACAAATTGTGCATTCAACGTGAAACTTGTCATTTTTCGAAACTAGACAGTGGTGTTGCCATTTCAAATAAGTTCCACTCGCAATTTTTTCTATTGCAATATTTGAATCTGTTTAATTTTAAAAATCATTAAAGTTTTAGTTACTATACCAAATGTCATAAATTAAAATAATTTATTTATGAATAAATTTAATAAACACTTACTTTTTAGGTTAATACAGTCTTTTTATTTAATATATTTTATATCTTCATATGCGAAAAATCTCATTATCAACAAAATCATAAATGAGAAAACATTGCACTGCAATTGCAACTTATGATTTTTAAAAACATTAAAAGTGAGATAACTGAAAAAGTATTAAAAAACTTCAAAATTTTTATTTTTCATCTGTTTCCTTCGTAGAAATACGTGAAAAATAGTTCCTCGTGAGAAAACTTATGCTGAGGACTCTTGTTTACTCAAAAATATTTTGACACTTCTCTCATTAAAAAACTAAAGTTTAAATTTTGAAGGTTTTCAATATTTTTCAGTAATCTCGGTTTTTATATTTTCACATATATTTTCTCGGTATTCCAAGACCGAGATTGCGAGATAGAAAAATGACCGAGATTTCTGAGACCGAGATATCCGAGACAAGCAAGATCTGAAATTATAATTACTAATTAATTAATATTTCCAAGTGGCAAATTTCTAAAAAGGTATAGAATGATTTAAAAAATAGTTTAAAGTTTGTAAAGCAGTAAACTCCAAAGTAATTTCAAATTGTCGCAAACTTAAGTGTTACCATCCCTACTGGTGTTGTAGGTCTTGATTTTGCTCATCAAATAAATAAAAAAACTTACATATAAAAACTCCACGGTTAGAAGCAGCATGCAATTTTGTTTTCCGCTTTAAACATTTTGAAGAAACTGTATATTGTTTCTTAAAATTTCAAAATTGACACTCCCGCGGCAGGGTCAATTTTGAAAATTTTCAGAATTTTTATTTATTATTAATTTAGATTTTCTAGTTTTATAATCTACGGAAGAATATTTTGTAGTTAAATTTAAATCAAATAATTGATTTTATGTATGTTTAAAGTTTAACCACAAATCAATTACAATATCAGATAGGATGGGGGGATGCATCCATCTCCCCATATCCTTCTCTAAACTTACTGTTTCCGGCAGTGTATTATAAATTTAGGACCCATCTAATTAATATATAAAATAAAATAAATAAAAAGTAAAAATACTGACAGTTACTGAGAAATGAAGAAAAACAAAATAAAGTTTACTAACTCAAAAATTATTTTTTTTCTAAGTTAATACGATTTTAATACTTTAACAATTTAATACTTTACGATATTAATACTTTAACAAAATTGTTTTGTAAATTCTGGTCCGTATTTTATAAAAAAAAGCAAATTTAAAATGTAAAAAATATGTTTAATGGTTATATCTGGGGTCAGTAACAAGCGGATCGCGAGTTTCATGCTACTCTGTTATCTAAATTACGTGGTTCCCCAGTCTTGTCCGAATTACATAATAATTTGATTTAAAACTATATTTAAAACATAACTAAAACTGTAATCCTGCGACTCTTTTTTTAACATTATTTAAAGATTTTTTTTAATTATTTAAGGAAAAACTTCTCTTCTTAAAATAGGTTGCCGACGCCTGGGTTATATTACTAAATATTTGCGGCCACGGCGCAGTGGTTAGAGTGCTTGGTTTAAAAGCAGGAGATCCAGGTTTGAAAAAAACTCTGACATATTTTCGCGTTACGGTAAGGAAGGAGGCGTGAACTTTCTAGTTAAATGCACTTTCGCGGTGCTCTGTGACAAGACCGTTAGGTCTTCTTAGGGCATTTAAAAAAAAATAATTTAAAAATAGAAAACTATCCGAATTATTTGAGATAAGTTAAATTTACCCAATTAGTTAAATTTTATTCACGCTTATTAAAAACTTTTGAAACAACTTTCAAAAGTTGAAATAATATAAATACAAGATTCCATTTAGAAACTATTATAACAATGTTCAACCACGCGAGGTATTGATTAACTAAAATAATTATTTTTTCTTTCTTGTATGTTGATTTTCTTTCTAAAATGATTATTTTATCAGTCTTGATCATTTATTGTTAAACAGCAAAATAAATGTAAAAAAAAAAAAATAATCATGTTTATGCATTTTTATTAAATTTTATTTTTACATGTGCAAGCAGCAATAAATTAGCTTTTAAATTAATAAAAAATATCATTGTATGTGTCACCGTAATAACATTTAGACATAAAACTCTTTATATGCTTTCTGCTTGGAATTTTTGCTAAAATATGCTTGTGACGTGCTCACAGTGGTCAGAAATGCTTGAAATTGCGAATTAATTGTGTTTCCTTTCCAAAACAATTAACATTTGGTAATAATATAAAAAAATAAGGATAAAACATTTTAAATAAATAAAATTTATTTGGTTTCTAACACTTTTTACAACTTAAAATGTAATAGTTTTAATATAAAATAACATTGAAAACATCATTATCACAATATAGTAAAAAAATAATTAATTACATTAAGTTGTAACCATTTCCACAAGAATGAAGTTTAAGTTCAATTTATTTCATTTTTTACAGTTACATTACAGTTTAGATAACTTGAAATTTTTTTTTGACTTGGAATAACAATGAAAACATTTATCTCACAAAAAATTTAGAAAAATAATGAATTTTAATAAGTTGTTTTCATTTTCACAAGAATTTTATACTACTTTTAAATTAAAAATAATTTCAAATTTCCAAAAACTTAATCTGAATTACTATTATCACGAAAGCCTGGTGTGGTTGGTGATGGTTTGATGGTGGTGTGGTTGGTTCAGAACACTCAAGTAAAGATACAATCCTTGCTGGCATTTTTCTCTTCTTTTTGAATCTTTGGCGTTTTCCAACACATGATCCTTGAACCTTTGGATCACTCAAATCTGTGAGCCTGTGGAACATATCAGCCATGCCATGTGCCCATGAAGGCTTTCTTGCATGATGCATTCTGAAGTTTCTCAAAAACTTATTGTTGGCTTCAGATCCTTCTTCACTTGTGAGTCCAATTGGAAGAGGGTAGTTGTCAATAAGACCCTTGTCATATTTGAAAATTTTGTGAAGTATTGGAGGTAGAAAATACCAATCACAGCATTCTCTTCATCAAAATAAACTTCTTCAGTTTCCTTGCAAAGTTTAGCAAACTTTGTTGAATTGATGGCATATCATATATCACTTGATAAAGCTCCCCAGATTGTGGCAATGTTCTCAACAAGTTTAACTGGAATTTTACAAAACTCTGCTGTAATTGCGTGGTTGTCAAAGGCATTACGGGCAACATTGCCAGTAGTGGTTGTTCCGGCACCTCCATCCCATCTTTTATCAATAATAATGCCTAATTTTTCTGCAAATTGTGCCTTCACATGTTGTTGTGTAGTTGCAATGTTTACTTTCTCCTCTGGTGTCAAATGCTTTCGACATTTTTTGATATTCTGCCTGTAGCCAATGTGACAAAGGCTATCAAAAGCTCTCAAGCCAAAATACAAAACTGATGCTGCAAAGTCCAAAGATCCAGGCATGAGAGTAAAATATCTATCAGGCTTAGCAATTTTCCCACAAGACTCCTGGTATATTGGGCATGATGATAATGCTGGACAGTCTGTCAGTTGTTGGAGAACCTTTCCATCCACCATGGTAAGAAGTCCATGGTAGGTAACTTTGACTTCTGGATTTTCAGACAAAATATAAGGCTGAAGTTCTGCTTTTTCCTTCTGAAACCTGGTCAACTCATTTTTGATGGCAGCTTTTGACTCCTTTTCGTATGCAATTCGTAATGGTCGACATGACTGTGCAGAATTTGGAGATTGGTTGAGGTATACTACCCTCTCTGGGCAGTTCAAGTCAATGATTTGTAATGGTACAAGTTGACTCATCATTAACGTGCTGTCATCTGGAATCTCATCATTTGAGTCTTTCTGATGAAAAGTGTTGAATGATCCGCATCCATCAAAACCCAGCTTAAAGTAAAAAATGAGCTCAACGTTGTTACTGCCCTCTGTCATTATTTCAAGGACTGGATTTTTTTCTAAAATCCTCTTTACTGTGTGATCAAGGAGATTCTTCATTGGTACCCATGCTGAATGTTCCAAAAGGTGAATATCTTTTGGTCGGCAACTCATCTTGGCCTCAACTATTTTGTTGTAGTTGGGCCAGATGTTGGCATTGCAGATGTTGGCATTGCTGAGCATGCAGTTTTTATTGCATAATACTGATCTTTTGATAAATCATTCAGCAGTAAAAAAGACAGTGCCTCCTCTGGAGTTTTTTGCATGACTTCTGAAGTTTTTTCTGATGAAATTGCATCATGTGCTCGTTGTACTACCTCCTCAGTCTAATTTATTGACTTTCGAATCACTTTTGCCAGAGTTATGCTTTGTTGCAAAGCAGCCTTGGTAATTGCCTCAGGTTCTTGACGAATTTTTGCACTTTAAATTTGCGGTGCTCTATCTGACTTTTCACTGAATGGCTTACTTTTTCTTCCAACTTTTTGCTTCTTTATAGGCAGCATTGATGAAGATGAGCTAGTTTCACTCTCTGATGTTGAGCTGTAAAGGCTTTTTTTTGAGATGAAAGTGTTGTCAAGAAATGAAGCACTGCTTTTCATGAATTTTTCAAAACAGTAGTTGCATTTCCTGTACCTTGCAATGACGTGAGACAAAAAGGAGTTGATTTTTGGTTCTAAGTAATGGAAATCAATTCTGCAGATGTTGGAAGTTCTGAGTACAGAAAAAATATATTCTTGAATAACTTCAAATTGACCATTTTTGTCCGTAATGGCAACATTACTGTCTTTCATGACTTGACAAATGTCCCCATTTTTGATTTCAATCAACTCAGTGCCTTTTTGTGGCAGAGACATCTGAAAGAAAAATTATAAAAGCTTTTAAGCATGTTTTTTTGCATTTACTATCAAATGAAAATTGTACATTTACATTTTGTTTGAGTAGTATGAAATATTTGCAACCGAAAGAAAGCTGTTAATAATTTGCCTAAAATTGTTCTTTGGTTTTTTTAATGCTAATAAAAATATAGAAAAAGTTGAATAAGATAAAAATTCTTACCTTAAAACCATAGATGATGTCTCAAATTAAAACATTATTGTTGATGTTGTAGAAAATACCCAACTTTTTATGTACAATGTTCTAATCAAAAGTTATGTCTTTGTAATTTTTTATTTAAATTTTAAATTTTTCGTCTAAATTTTGCCGCCAAAATTTACGGGAACGTACGTAAATTTGCCGCGCAATTTAGGATGCGCGGCAAATTTAGGATTGCCATGCCAATGGCATCCCAGCTGAATGAATTGATTTAGCTTTGAAAAGGGGACGTAGGGGGTATAATTTTAAGTAGAAATGGTTAAGTGATTCTTAATCAATACTTTAAAGTTTGAATAGAATTGGACAGATTTGGACAAAGACCAGAAATTTAATTTTTCTAACTTTTTAAAAAAAAATTTGGTCAATTTTGAAAATGATCTGACATCCTTTACTTTCTGCGACTTTCAAGTTAATCCCTTTATACTGAATTTTATTTTAGATTAATCTTACTGCAAAATTTCCAAATTTGTAAAACTGGATATAATATATTAAAATATTTAGCCCTAAACAGTAAAAATATTAAGACATTTTTCAGTTTCAATGATTTGATTTTTAACCCTTGCTCTTTGAATGGGACAAAATACAAAAATTCAGTGCACTAGAGCAAAAATATTTCAAGTGTACTTTCTTGAAGGTTTGAAGAATTATTTGGCATAAAATTTAGTTCGTTTTTAAAAATTAGTATTTTTGAATTATTTCGCTTTTTCAAGCCTTTCTGATCACTGTGGTGCTTCCTTCCCAAAAACAGTATAAGAAACCATGGAAACAAGTTGTACAGATCTCTTAACACTTTGTGAATGTGAAAGAAAGTCACTTTTTTTTCAAGACAACAACTTTTCTATAATCTCTTCATCTGTAAAATCTTAAGTTGTTGCTGGTTCATCTCAATCTTCATTAAAACAATTTACAAGCCCACACCATATATGAGCATCAATGTTAATCTCTGGAATTTTATTGATTCTGTTTACAGTTTGACCATCTTTTTTACAATTTATAATATCAAGTAATCTCTGTATTGCTATTGATCTTATAGATATTTCCTCTGACTTTAACATTGAGTACAAAACATTCTCAGAAAGTAGGCAACAAGTTTTGAACTTTAGTTTTACTAAGCAAATAACTTGCACCACTTTACCTTGGAGCTGATTTTTTTAATCATAAAATATGTAATTGACGGAGCTTTGAGTAACTTATTGCTCTTTTTATTGAGAAACTATTTAGAAACATGGGTCTTTGTACTATACAGTTTACCAAAATAATTGTTTCAAAATCAGGAACTTGCACTCAGACATTTAAAGAAATCAACCGTATTGCCAATGATAACCATCAAGAATGATTAAGGGGATTTTCCAACTTGATTATTTAACACTCACTAATTACAACAAGAGCAAAATTACCACTTACCGTGGTAATTCCAATGCAATATTCATATAAAAGCCCCAAGGCTTTTATATGCAATATATCGCTACTTAAATTATCTAAAATGTCTTTTTCGAAAACAATAATTGGAGACTTAATAACAGCAAAATTAATAACTAAAAGAAGCTCATTATTGATATTTGCCATTTTTCCTGTTGGTTCAGCAAAATGGTTCGTGACTTAGTTGCTCCATTAATTTTTTAAAACAAAGTTCTAAAAGGAAGCTCATTCTGACGAAGATTGCCGCCTATAGTTTGAACTTTTTGTCCGAGTTTTTTTCTCTAACTCCGCAACCATTCCTGCTTTATGACTTGTGTTTGTTGAAGCATTGTCTAGCAAAACTGGTTTTAGAGTGTTTAAAGAATCGTACTCTTCAAGAACTTCGTAATGGCAAAGAGCTTGCTTTTTACCTGTTGCTCTAACAAGAGATAAAACTTTGTGAGTAAGATACTCCCTACTGTGAAGGTTAACGAAAAGTTATTTAGTCACAGTCATGTGATTTTCTTTCTGATTTGTTGATCTTTTTAATACAATCTCATCACGTTTTTTTTTATTTCTCTTATAACTAAAGTTTCATTGTCAATATTACCATCAACACCAACCCAAACAAAATGTTATTCTAAAGGGATTTTAAGTCTAACTAAAGTTGATATAATTGCTGGATCATTAAACAGTCCTAATAGATGGAGCATAAGAGCATTTACTAATGCAGCTCCAAACGAACTTCCTATATTATTTCTGATCAACTCAATAGCAAAATTTGAAAACTTCCAAAGATTGTAAATTCCTGATGAATTTCTTTTGGGCTCCCATATCTAAAAAAAAAGTTATAAAGTTCATTAAAAAAGTTTTTTGATATAAAAAAGTGATATGTAAAAAAAAAGTAATCTTAAAAAATATAAAATAATGACCCAAATTTCAATTTACTAATTAATTACCTCACTAAAGCTAGAGATGACAGATTATGAATCAGATTCTCATAAAGCTATTTCTGGAAGTAAATTAGACGTTTCTTGTTGTAATGGTTCTTACAGATTTTTATATTCAGTTTTATGTTTCTTTAAAGATTCTTTTCTAGACCATTCACGATCAACTGAGCTAAGTTGAAATGATCTATTTGGACTTGACTTTTCTCTTTGGTCTTTTAAATGTAACCTTTCTTCGACAGGAATATAAATATTATGTGATAATAATTAGCCATTGCATATGAAATTCATAGTACTAAACTTTATCATACTAGTAATATGCGAATGTTCATTTTATCTAAAAATACTTTTATTTTATTTATCTATTATTGAAAAATAACATGGTATTTTTTTATTTGGATTACATGCGCATAAAATGAGTATCAGAACAATTATCTTGACTACATTTGATATTTTTATCATCACATAGAACAATTTTAAGATCACATGTGCAGGAACTGATATCAAA